GATGAGCAACCAAAAACTAACAATGTCAAAGCAATCTAGCAAGTCCTTTTGAAGGTTTAAATACAATGATTATAGATGCGGGAGGATTGACAGTGATGGTGAAAAAAGTCCATATGATCAAATGAGAACCTTTATCAAAAATGACTGTAAACTTATAACAAAGGAACTTGCACAGGCGATGGGGGCAAGCCCAATGTCCTCGAATCAGAAGCAGATATGTCTTCTTTGTTTGACACTTTCTCGCCGACGGCAACGTCTCCCGGCTCAGCCCAACCCTTTATCTCTGACGGACCACGACGAGAACTATGATGGTGAGGTTGCCGAGGGGCGAATGTTGAGGTGATGATGGAGAAGGGCGCTGTAAGAAAATGAATAAATACAAAACAAAGAAGATAACCTACTGGAAGAGCATGACTGCGACCCCACATTGCGAATTCGGACCTTCCTATAAGGTTGCAAATTAAGGTGATGATAGAATGTACCTCGTAGTACTTTTTCGAGAGGTTGATGAAGATTTAGTGCTCAGTTGCAGCTGATCATGTTTGGGATCGTACCTAAGTGCAAAAAAAATGCTGTTGATTAACGCCCGTCGTTGAAACGAGTCAATAGTCACAACTTCACAGGTTAGCTGCGATAAGTGTCCAAAATAGTGATGTAATGCGTTTGAAATGCGAGCAGTGAAAACAGTGCAAGATACATGACGCACATAAAACTAAGCATACCAAGATCTACGTCTTAACTTAAATCCGAATATGACCATTCTTAGAGGAGAAATCCAAGCACTTGTAGTAATACAATTTACAGGCAAAGAGGCAATATACCCTTCCGCCAAAAACTTCTTCACAACAGAGTTGGTCGAAGGTGCGCACGATAGCCTCATATGCTCAACTCTCTCTGTGCTGTCAGTAGAATCAGAAAAATGGTGAAGCTAAAGAGGCTCAAATTAAATAAGAGACTCAACAACTTGCATCAAACAGAACTCCCTTGCCATTTTCTTGCGTATCACCTCCGTCGCCTGTTAAAACCCTATCTTTGGTGTAGTACCATGATCGCGGATCGGTCCACGAAGCCCGTTTTTGTGCGTGATCGACGAAGTAACTGCAGTACAGTATTTGAGCGACTTTTACTTTAAGTTAGTGCTTGGATCGTGTTTCTCCTCCCAGTTGGGTGGCAATGGATACTTCTTCCAATACTTCAACTTGGGCATACTAATAAAATGAAACTCAACCTGTTATGAGCAAACTAGCGTAGAAAGCTACAGCCATAGCGAAGCGCCGCTGCGACTGTAAATTCCGCGCCATCATCCCTACTTGATTGAAACAGATAATTGGACAAATGGCAGATCTTATGCATTTGCATTTTTTAGCATTGATGCGCTTAATACGTTGCTATCGAGAAAATTAGTTCAAGACAAACTTAAGAGGGCAAAGATCATGGGTGGGCTGATCAATGTTGTAACCTATTCAACGCTATTTTAGTTCCCTTTCAACCACGTCACACGCTTACTAAAGCACTTGCCAGCCTAAGGGTCCCTATTCTTGTACTTATGTGAATTTCACACATACGATAATACAGAGATTTGGTTTAAAATCATAGATAACACTTCTTAAAAGTGTGTTTTACATCAACAATCTCCATCTTAAACACATCATGACGACAATAAATTACCCATTCTTAACTTAAAACAATGGAAGCTACATATGCGATTTTCCAGACGGTATTACATGGACTCCCGGATACTTGTTGCCCCCAGTAGCACAAGTGGCAATCGAGAACGTCGAACTGCAGCAGTGATATTGCATCACCCTTAGTGCCTATCGCCTGTGCGCACCTGTAGTGGTGCCCGAGGCACCTGTACAACGCCACTTTCCCCAATCACCATCAATCCTTCTACAGAAGAATGGATAAAGCGTCCCACCTCAGTCGAAAAAATGCTGACTAAAGGGAGTCTCACAACTTGTGGCACGGAATGACATGTCCGACCAGACCATAACCGCGGAGGCAGTGTGACCACTTCAACTCGATCGAAGTTAGCAAAGTTCGAGCCCATTCTGATTGGCAATGCAAAAGGCATTTGTTGATCATTATTAAAACAGTCAGAAAAGAACCTCTGGCACACAGTACGGTGCATAGGTAAAAACTATCAATCATGAGAAGAAAAAAAGAGGAGAGCGTAGTTAGTATGAGTAGAATAAGAACTTAGAGCATAGATCTCGCTTGCATCCATGTAAATGCAGACATGCATATAACCATACACACATTCAAGGGGGACTGAAAGACAGACAAACAGCCAGACGAGGGTAGGGGACACGTCAAGGGAGAACACGCATGGGGCTAGAGGCCCGAATACGATCCACATCGGCCAAATCTTCCGAAGAGTGACTCCTCGTGAGCACACGCTCCTGCGGCTCCACATAGCAAGGAAGAGTGAATTCATTTTCACCGAGAGCACCCATTGCTAGGGGTCCACGCAACCGGGAGTCACCCAGAGAGGGCACCGAGGCATACCGCGTGCCTGTAGGATAGGCAGTGGGAGAACGAAGGTCAACTTCCATCGGTTCACTTTCAGTACCACATCCACCCAACCAAAGGATAAGAGTAGTGACGTTGTCACTGGAACCGTTGCGGACAGCCCTGGCCGTGAGGAGTTTCGCAAATTCTCGGTTCGGTGTACCGCTAAAGAAGTGTGTGAGGTCATCAGGAGAACAACCGTAAGTATCCCACAGTCCGTCAGTGGCGAGGATGAGGCAGGCGGCAACGGAGAGGCGGTGGACAGAAAGCGATGGCAGACCAGAGAGACCAGGTATGAGGGACGTGCTAGCCCCCAGGGAACGGGTCACCCCCGATATGCCCCCCACTCGGTAGGTGCCACTCACGGACAGATCCGGAACAAAGAGGAGCTGTGTGCTGTTCATCAATGGTGCAGGCATGCGGCCTGGCTGACTCCGATCCATCCTTTCACTCTCGTTGTCGTCTTCCTCACTGCCACCACCACCTATGTAGTCTTCTGATGCCTTGAAAGTAACGCAACCACCCGCACGCAAAATTGATACGAATTCAACCTGAAGAACACAAAGAGAAAACAAAATGGAAAAACGATTTCTCCTACCGATCGGAGAT